AGTTCGGTGTTTGAGCTGCTCCTTACAAAGTAGCTAAACTAACTGGTTTGAAATGTTTACATCTGACTTAAACTAGTTCACCTTCTATATCTTCTATTTCACTACCAATATCATTGTTTTCCTCCCCAGTATTGCAAACAGGTTGCAGCTCACCCATTTACATTAGGATATCCTCATGTCCCGGGTGGTTTGAACCTGCACTCCGGTACCAGGGGAACCAGACCTGTGTCCCCCACATAAGGCCAGGAGCCAGAAGAGAACTCACGGCACTCAAATGCATCAGCACATGTCACCTAGACTTCAGGAACGGTTTTGCTACTTCAAAGAGTTGCAGGAATTTGCATATAGGCGAAGAGCCTTGCTGTTGCCATGGCTGCCTCCTCTAAGGCTGGTCATCCCTCTGAGCTGTGAGGCAGGAGATGGGAATGAGTCCGGAGCGTCAATAAGATCCTTAAGAAATTTGCCCTTCAAAAGTGAGATCTGTTTGATCCAGAGTAACGCATGCAGTGGTACAAAGGCCAGTCTATTACAAAGGCTGTAAACCAATTTATTATTTACATGTTCTTACAAATGAGCAAGTAATTTCAGCCCACCAGCTGAGGATCGGAAGCACGCTACTGACACTGCAGCCGCTGCTAGTACCTGTGCTACAGAGCTCAGCACAAAGATAAAAGCCTAAAAATCCCATCATGAAAGAAGCGGCATTTTGTAGGCATTTTCAGCAGCAGTTAATTTTGCAGATGTGTATGTCAGAAATTATTCTGCCTTATTTACACACAAGTAGCACTAATGTGCCTGTAATGGAGTGGTGAAGTGGCCAAATTTCCTACTACAGGTTGAGTCTTTAAATAATACAGAAATATTTTTCAAAGGTATTCTTCATAGATTGCCATAGCTACAGAGGAATAAATCCATCTGTTGTAAAACCACTCTTCTGAACTGCATTAAAGAACTTAATAATACCGAAGATGTACATAACTCTGTCTGTGCATGCATGCAAGTGTGCCTTACATATATATAAGAATGGGTGAATTACAACGTATATATAAAAATGGAGTCATTCTATCATTAGCAAAAGTTAACGTGTAGCATGCAACGTTAGCCACAGATCTCTAATTATTAAAATAATGTATATACAATGGAGGAATTCTGATCAGCTTCTGTCCAATCTCAAGAGTTGCCACAACTGAAAGGAGTTTTTTTTCACCTGAAGCAACTCCTTTGTAAAATTTCCTGGAAGACTAACAAAGAATATTTATTCTGAGAAGGTTATTTCCACAGTAAAAGGCTGCAATTCCATTTATATAATAAAATACATCAAAGTTCATTACAGCCTCTGCAATGACAACCCGAGGTACTGACTGTCATGGCTTTTTTTCAGCCTGAATGAAAATTCTGATTACTGCAATCCGCTGTAGAAAGAGAATGACAATCATAGGCCTCCAGCAACAACACGGGAGGATAATCTATTGTTTGCTGTTGTCTCCCAGGCTGTAATGACTCATATCTTTACACCAAATTGAAGAATGATGCTCACTCCAATTATACAAAACAATCTCACAAACACTGCTACTAGATCCTAATTGCGAAGTAAAACACTTAGGTCAAGACTTGTTTTCCCAACTAATTACCCTTTACAGAAAGAATGCAACAGTGCACACAAAGAGAAGATACTCATCAGTGCTGGGTTTATCTTAAGTTAAAGCAGTGCAATTGATGGTACAATCCTCATTCTGAAAATTGCAATGTCGGTCATTTTCATTTTTTAAAGGAGGAACTGAGGGGAAAACACACTTTTGTTTTAATACACCTAAGTCCCTTTGATCCAACCTCTCCTATCCAGGTACTAACTTAAAATTGCCTAATTAATTCATAAGAATGAAAAAAAAAATCTTTAAGAGCTGAAGAGAGTATTGCTAAGCAAAGATTAGTTCAATTTAAGTAACTTAATTTGAATTTAAGTTTAAGTAACTTAGTCTATAATTAATTATTTCCACACACTGTTTCCCTTCACAGTCATTTTTATCTGTAAAACTGAACAAAATACCCTTGGTGCCATTTAGATTGCAATTATAGCAACACAATTTTTATCATAGAAATTATATATCCTGTTAATTGAACCACAGTCTTTAACTAACAATGTTGTCTTCTCCAAGAAGTGTTCAAAGAACACTGAATGCCACAGATTTCATATGAAGATTAAGTTAAACCATGACATTCAGGCAATGGAAGAGAGTAGCATTCTCCCAATTTCATTTTACTGCAAACTACAGGGCTTAATGTAAAACCTGCCTGACTGTAGGGTGCTGCTCTCCTAGACTTTGCGGAGCAGAATGTGGATGCCCACAAGTGTTTGGTGGAGGAAAATACCAGGGGTATCCTCCACCAGGTTAGGAGGCCAGAGTACTAACTGGGAGCTGCCAGGTAAGAGGTGGTGCTGTGCATTTAAGGAGTATTTAAGAGTTCCCTAGAGGATTTTCATTGGGTTGGTGCTTTGGGAGGCAAAGTAAGGAGAGGCTTGAGCACAGTTAGCTTGGAGGGAGAGACTACTGAGGTTGGCGGGTACTTTGCTTATAGCGTATCATGCTAACAACAGCCTTCAGAGGTGGACCCGCAAGCACCTCATGAAGTTCAACTAAGCCAAGTGCAAGGTCCTGCACAATTAAGGCAATCCTAAGCACAAACACAGGGTGAGTGAGGAGTGGACTGGGAGCAGCCCTGCGGAGAAGGACTTAGGAGTGTTGGTTGACAAGAAGCTTAACATGACTCAGCAATGCACTCACAGCCCAGAAGGCCAATAGCATCCCCGGCTGCAGGACAAGGGACGGGATTCTTTCCCTCTATTCCTCTCTGATGAGATCCCCCTGCAGTACTGTGTCCAGCTTTGGGTCCCCCAGCATAAGAAGGACACGGACCTGTTGGATTGAGTCCACAGGTGGGTGACAAAGATCACCAGAGGGCTGGAGTACATCCCTTGTGAGAATAGGATGACAAAGTTGGGACTCTTTAACCTGGAGAAAAGAAGGTTGCCCAGAGTAGTTGTGGGGGTTGAAACTAGAAGATCTTTAAGGTCCCTTCCAACCCAAATCATTCTATGTTAATCCTTCTCAGGAGAGATCTAAGGAAAAGCCGCTTGATATTACTGCTGAAGACCACAGAAGATTGCTAACTAAGAGAAGGAAAGAATTTCAAGGAAGAGCTGAGGCAACTCACCACATTACTCTCCATTGCTTTTGCACTGTCACAAGATATTGATATCTTTGTGGGTGATTGGATCTTTGCAAAAGAAACCATAACTGTGATTTGTTTTTTCCTTTCTTTGAAGCTCTGCCCACAAATCCGTCATCTTAAAGATGAACATGGCCAAAGCCTGACTTCTCACTCCTTCTGGGACAGACTGATGATATAGACAATGTACAATGCCATATAATTACAGAAATATGTAAAAATTCAGAAAGATGGACAAAATTAATACTGGGAGCAAAAAAATTAAACACAACTCTTCCAATTCAAATTTGGCCCAAACCATGCAGTCCATGCAGTACAGAGAGCAAATCCCATGAGTTTGAAACAGAACGCTGGAAAACGCCATATAAACAACAGATATCTCAAAGTTTAGTAGCTCAATTGCATGCCTTAAATGTATTATGGTTACAATAAATTATAGTCAATATAAATGTCTATATTACAATTTAGTAAGAAATTAGGCTAATCAGAATTAGGACACGTGAGCAAATACCGTTCCTCAAAATCCCTGGTAAGCCAAACTAGTTCAAATCTAGTAAAGCAAAAAAAAAAAAAATCACTTTTTTAATATTATTTTTTGCTATTTTAAAAGAAAAGATAAAAAAACAGACTTATTTAGGAAACAGTCTCATTTATGAAGAAAAGGCCATCTTTCTTCTGAAAATGTATACGAACAAAATTTTAAATACTTTCAGTATCATTGTCAAGAAACTATCACACTGTGAATGGAAGTGTTTTGATACAGGCACATAAAATGAAGTAGATTAAATACTGTAATTCTAGTCTAATCTATTTCTGAGCTGTAAAAATTGTTACCAGTTCTCTTCTGTGTATGCAGAAAAACAGAGCTTACGCTCTAACTCTGAGGTTTTCAATCTAAACCCCAAAACTCAATTATGACCCAAATTCTTGAGCAGAAAGCTCAAGATTTAACTCTCTCTATAATCAGTTCTTATTACTTCTGACCAATTTAATTACAAAATATTTTGCGCAGCTGTTAAACACTCATCAGATGTATCCTCTTACTTAATCCTTTATAGGGAGTTAGAAATCTCTTACCATAACTACACTGTAGTCAGTGCAATTATTTTAATTTATATGATGCTCTAGACTATAATATTACTAATGAACAAGACATATTCTTGCAACAGTAATTAATGAATCTTCTGGAGATTAAAGCATTTTGTAAGCAGCTTTCAAAATTGGCTTTTATGACTATGTCGTGCAAAATCTGTTTCCTCTCAAAGAGGATAATTCAATAATAGTGGTATTTTTTTGACCTTTTGAAGAAGCAGAAAAGCACAGACTGTCAAACCAACTCCACAACACACATCAAACCCTGCTTTTCAATAAACGCATTATTATTTTTCTTCCAGCTATACTTACTGCAATGCATCTTACTTTACTCACACTTTAGTTGGTTCTGGAGTCAGAGGATCAGCTTTGTTAGTGGGATTACATCAGGGAACTCAGACAGGTCATTGAATGCATGAGTCTGACCTACTGAAAAACAATAGCTATTTTCTATTTACTTTTCTCAAAGTCTTTGAAAACCTATGGTGGGTGAGTGAAAGAGCTCGATCCTACAGCAACCAGAAGGTCTGTTCTTCCTAACAACACTAAAGGACATTTCCCTCTATTCCAGGCAGGTTGGTCTTAAAGGGAGATGAGAACAACAAAAACTGCTGCCCTTTGGGACTACATTTTAGCATCTTCACTCTAGTAGGTGTGGACTGTGGGAAAAAGCATCTTACCATCACTGTTGACGCAGACGACAACAGGAACCTGGGTACCAGGGCCACAGGTCTTCTCGTTGTCAGGGACGCACTCCTCCAGCCCCACAATTCTCCAGTCGTAGCAGGATGGCTCTTCACAGGGGATGGCTTCCAGCAGGTGAGGGCAGTTTCCTGTGCCTCCCGTAGGCTCGTTAGTGATGCGCCGTTTCCTTAGTTTAAAGCCTGAAACGTCCATGAAAACACGTCTTAACGGATCTTGACTAGATTGCTTGGTTGCCATTTCTCAAATGCGTTATTTCTTTTCTTCTCTATCTTCCAACAGCGAAGCTTATAAATAACTCCCTCCACCCCAAACATAAAATAATAATAAAATTTAAAAAGACTAAATTGCCTTAAAAGGCAAGGCATGGTAATGAACCTATGAAGCCAGACGAAGCAATTTTTTTGCAATTAACATCACAATATTCCCTTCCAAGCACTTACAAATTTCCCTAGGACTGCCTAAGCCCATTTTGGATTGGAGAAACTGATGGGCCTTTATACAGCGTGTCATCTGCCAGCTCAACGGCAGTCTCTAAGAGCAACCCTCTCTCTCACTTTCAGTATGCCCTGTTGAAAAAGCCAGACTAAATCAATAGACAGAACAATCTAACCCAACTAAATGGATTTAGGATATATTTTCTCCTGTAATAATTTTCTATAGTTTCTGACATATCTAACCAGAATGCTTTAACTTTGGTAACTGTTTCTTTCCATATCTCTTCACAGACTTTTTTGTTTTATCTCAATACTCAGGTAGGTTAGTAATACACAGGGTTTTTTTATAAAATATTACATATGACTCTACCAAAACATAGACTAAACAGGTGAGTTTTCAAACACATACGTGCAAGAATTGATTTGTTGTTTGAAGATGTGCTCTAGAGAATCGAAACGCTCCCTAACATAAAGGGCTACCTCCCTGCCTTTCCTTCCTTGCCTGTCCTTTATGAAGAGTTTATAGTCATGCTCAGAGGCATCAGATATATCCTTCTCAGTACAAAATTTAGTATGCTTGCATACTCAGAGGTGTCTAGTGACTAGGAATATGAAATAACCACCATTAAAAGGCTTCGCTGAATTTTTACATACCCTTCTTGGCCTGAGGGTCGTCACAGCTTTCATAGGTGCACGGTCCCCAGGCTGACCACGCCGAGGTCTCACACTCTGTAGGACAAGGGATATGGCACAGCTGGGAGGTGCTGGGAAGAGGTCCTGTACACAGTCTGCGGTCCACTGGCCTCGAGGCTGTCAAAACAAAGGCAAGATGTTTCTCACGTGTTTCACTGGTCACAATGCTCAGCTCTAAGTGGATAGAACCGTCCTTCATTCAGAAAGGCTGCTATCTCACCATGTTAATCTGATGAAGTGATGGAAAAATGCCTGTCTTGGAAAAATGAAAGAGAAGTCAGTTTACTCACTGCATGAACAGAGCCAAATCCGATTACGCGGAGTCAGGAAGACTGTAGATATTGCAGCACCCTCTCGGACTCAGTTCTTTCATTTAGCGGATAGATTATGTTGCTACAATAGTTGTTCACATTGAGCTCTATGTAAATCAATGTCCTGCTGTCTTACTGAGTAAGTCTTCACTTAAGAAACTGAGTAAAAAGCTGTATAAATCCCTTTGCTCCTATATGATACTAAAACTTCATAAGCCTCGTTAATTAATATTTAGAAGATTATTTTTAAGCTATAACCTATGACAAAATTTTGCTTTTGCTTTTACTCTAAAGACCTGCAAGTGCACACTCAGCAATGAGATTTGTGCAGCAGCAGCTTCAGTTCAGGAAAGGCTTTGGTTTATAAATATATATATAGTTGGCATATAAGATAAATATATATGCTTAATATATTTAAAATAATTAAAACTCTGCAGAAGACAATTGATTTCCTTATTAAAGCATTTTTAATCTATAGACACATATGTGCAGGTAGATTCTTTTCTTCTGTAAGAATCAGTAAGCCCTGGAAAAGGCCAGAATCACCCTGCTTCTTTCATACTTTACTCTTTTGAATTCCCGGGTTACACAAATAATAAGACAACTCTATAAGGTGCCAGAGTAAGGCATAGAACTCTAAAACAAAATGTATGATTTTATTACAGGAAGATATTACACTGAGCAGAGAATATCTGCTAGAAGGCAAAGTGAAGTCTGCCACGTTCATTCACTTTGGTTGATTGAAGGAATATGCAATTCCTTAACTTAAAACTCCCTTATCCTACACCCTCAGCATTTTTTCACGGGAAAGTTACCTCATTAATTTTCTGCCATCACTACAAATAATGTCTATTGATGGAAAGAGCTCTCTGATGAAACATATTCTGCAATAAATTCAGAATATGACAGAATACCCTTCTGAAAGATGAATTTGATAATACTATGTTAAAGATCAGATTGTTAAAGTAGTACATATGTGTGTGTCTTTCTCTTCAGACTTGTAAGCAGATGATCTTCCCAGTTGCAGAAAAAGCATTCAATTCTCACTTTTTAAGGGGTAAAGGGAATGAAAAAACATGGCCCTATTGCGGTTTCGCATGTTGCCTCTTTTGGCATAGTTTTACACTACGTTGCTCCACATAGTAAAAGCATGAAGATGGCAGACAGTCATTCAACATTACTGTCTCCGGCTGACTGATTCCTTAACACAAAATAATACAAGAACTAATATTCCAACATTTGCATAATGTTATGTGGGAATTAAATTTTATAGCGGAACACTGAATTTTACAATAAGTTTGACATGTGCACTTAACGGGCACGATAATCAACATAATATGCATATCTTGTGTAGAACATTGATATAAATAAACATAATTTGCCTGTAATTGAATTTGTATTGAATAGTTTCTAATAAAACAAGAAAAACAGTAAGTAATTGCCAAGCGTACTTTTTTTAACCTTGATTTAATCGGGGAATCGCCCAAGTGAGACAGCTGAAATTAAGGGTCAATTACACCCCTGAGACACAGCCTTGCTTCAGGGAACAGAGAAAGTGTTCTGAGGAATGCTGTGCTGCAGCAGGATAAAACATTTGCCATCACACTAATTCATGGGATGTTACTCGGAAAAATAACAAAGATCTTTCATGAGGAAGCCTTAAATAGCAGATTTTTATATCACAGGTGGTCCATATCTCAACCAGATGAGTCTGCCAATAGAAGGTACTCCTGAGCTACTGTTGCAATTCATGTGGCTTCAAGCTAAGTTTGTGATGGTCCTGAAATTCTAAAATATGAGAAATTGTGACTGCGTTTGGCTTTAAAGGGTGACTTAAGTAATAGGAACACTATTTCAATTTTTTTGACCTATCTGTCCAGTAAGAATTCTAAGCCTTGTCAGCAAACATTGTTAAATGAGCTTATCATAAAGACACCTACTGAAAATATCTGCCTTTTCTATCCCTTGTTAGAGTACAGGAGGAGAAAGAAGTGCTTTGGAGACAGGTAAGTGTTATCAGTAAATCTCTCAGTATGCCAGAATGTTTTTGTAATGCTGCTCTCAGAACATAACTGATGTACAAGTGTACAGATCTGTTATATACTGCTTTTAAAACGAAAGAATTCAACAGCGGGTCAGACAAGTTATATTCCAGATTATTAAAAAATGTTTTCATCATCGAACACTCAGGGTGTATTTCACCCAGGATTGCTCATAACTCTTTCCCTGAGATGACAGTAAAAAAAGAAAACTTAGCTTGCCTGGGTATCTTATGGACATCTTACTCTCAGTAATTTAAACGGATTTCTTTCAGCATCAAGAAAGTATAAATGAACCCAGCATTTGCTGCTTATTGTTCAGCAAAGATGCTTTGAAAGAAGATGACACTGGATGCAGAAATTTACAGTTCAAAACCTTGTCTTATCTCTGTTCTTTCATATTCTCTTGCGGCAGCAATAAAGATTGTTCTTCAGTCCTTGGCAGTGGTGCTGAATGCTGATTAAACCATGTGCAATACTACAAGCTCTGTGTGGAATTTGAACGATTTTTTGTCCAACCATGGTGAGAAAAGTGAATCTATTTTTTGATAATACCTCCTTCTCCTTCGATCTAATCGAATCTAAAATATTAGACTCGTTTTTGAATGAATTTCAGGTTTGAGGTAGTGACTTAAAGCCTAAAAGAGGTTAAATCACCCCGTCCTCAAATTGTCTACAATATTAGGAAGTTTTAGTTGAATACATTTTATAATTTCTCCCTGAATGACTGAATTCTAAAAAGAACTGAAAACTGTTCTTAAGTATTTGCTACATTTATCGAGTTCTCAAACTTCCAATTCTTCTCCAGGAACCCTAGACAGACTAGTGCCCAGGAACAACCAGGCTGGCACAGAGGGAGAATTTGTGTGCAGCTGCATCAGCGTAACCACACACAACTTTGTATTCCTCCTTCTGGTTGCACAGCAAACAACAGAAGACCATTTCTCCAACTAAAGTGCTCTCACTCTAAAAAAGCAAGAAAAACCTGAGCCCAAAACACATTACGACCAACAACTTAAGAGCACATATTCTTCCACCCTTTTCTACAAAGCTGAATGCTGTCATCAAAAGAAAGTAGATAATTCAGGACCCAATCCTCTGAAAAACTGCACAACTCCATGCACGTAAACAGTTCCTCTGTGTTTGAACAGAGCAACGAGCGTGTGTTTGCAGATGCAGAATAAAATTGTGGAACTCTTCCTCCCATGCACATTCTACATCAAGGGTTTTAAAGGTACTTGGAAAAAGATGACACAACCTACCTGATAGGCTTAGAGTGAGAGGAACTTCATGACTAAACTAGTTAAATAGGTAAATGTAGATGAAATTTAAAGTCATAGAATCATAGAATATTGGGGGTTGGAAGGGACCTCTGGAGATCACCCAGTGTAACCCTCTGCCAGAGCAGGGTCACCCAGGGCAGCCACACAGGAACGCGTCCAGGCGGGTTGGAAAGTCTCCAGAGCAGGAGACTCCACACCTTCTCTGGGCAGCCTGGGCCAGGGCTCCGGCACCCGCACAGCCAAGAACTTTCTCCTCATGTTGAGGTGGAACTTCCCATGTTCTAACTTAAACCCATTATTGCTTTTCTATTGCTGGGCACCACTGAGAAGAGATTGTCTCCTTTCCCTCGACACCCACCCCTCAGGTATTTCTATACGTTAATATGGTCCTCTCTCAGACTTCTTTTTTCAAGACTAAACAGCCCCAGTTCTCTCAGTCTCTTCATAGGAGAGCTGTTCAAGTCTCTTCATCATCCTCCTACCTCTCCCTTGGACTCTCTCCGGTAGGTCCCTGTCTCTCCTGAATTGGGGAGCCCAAAACTGGACACAGTATTCCAGGTGTGGTCTCACCAGGGCAGAGCAGAGGGGCAGGAGAACCTCCCTAGCCCTGCTGGACACACTTTTCTTAATGCACCCCAGGATTCCATTGGCCCTCTTGGCCACAAGGGCATGTTGCTGTCCCAGGGACAACTCACTGTCCACTGGGACTCCAAGGTCTTTCTCCATGGGGCTGCTTTCCAGCAGGACGACCCCTAATCTGTGCTGGTGCCTGGTGTTATTCCTCCCCAGATGCAGGACTCTACACTTGTCCTTGTTGAACTTCAAGAGTGGCAGAATGACAGAGGGCTACAGGAATCTTGATTGTCAGCTGCCCAATACTCCCTCATTTCCTCAAGTCTAACTTTATGAATTCTGATAGGAGATAATACAGACCTGAAATGCCATGAGGGATTCTTGTTTAGCAAATTATTAAAAGCTCAAATTCACACCAGAGCCCTAGTATGGTGCTTTCAATCTACACAGGGGGCTGAAAATAGCAGTGGGGATGAACGTAATGAACCAATTCCCAGCGCTCAGAATCAAGGGGAAAGTCAGCCACTTGCTAAAATGGTTCAGGAGCAGAGTATCTACAGCGTCGCTGGCTCATGAACCTCAGGAGTCTGAGTTTAGGCCCCAACTGATCCGAAATTTTCTGAGAACTCACAAATCCGTGAAACTATTTCAGAGCTTTGTAAAACACGTTCATTTCAAACATACAGCCAACGTAGTTCCCCCAGAGGGGATGTTGCCTCCTTTGCAGGCTTTTGACTGAAAGGCCTGGTCGGAGGCCTTACTTTACCTACCTGTTATTTCAAAAGTGATCGATAGCAGAGGTGCAGCACTAGCCTTCGACTTGCTCTGTGACTGACTTTCTGAAATAACAGGGAAACGCCACCGTGAGTATATGAGAATGGAGGTCTTCAAATCAGCCTTACCAAGACAGCATTTGCTACAACCAACAGCAAACTACACTGAAATGACGGCGTTTCCCAACAGCTACAATTGGTAGGTGTCTCCCCATCCTGCAGTTACTCACACTTTCCAAACGGCATTGTTTTTTAGAGGCACCAATTTGCCTGTTCCTGGGAGGGCCCACGCCAAATCCAAGAGGAGAGAGGAGAGAAAGAGGGAGGGGGAGTGGAGAAACAGCTCTTCTGAAAATCCGTCTCCTAATACGGAAACACCCCGGAGCTCCTTTTTAAACTAAAACCCACTTCACCCCTAGCCCGAGCTCTTGAAAAATTGTTCTCATGTTTATGCATCCAAAGACTAGTTACATTTTAATCAGCTTTCGGGGGCCTGCAGAGATTACCTCCTGATGGGCTCTGCATATTCCTGTCACAGGCTGATAAGGGCAGATTTCACACCCGCCTAAGCCGGCGAGACTTCACAGCCTACCAAAATCCTAATCATCATTCTGAACAGTAAGCTGCCACTGATTTCATTGTTACAGCTCCTTAGCTGGGAGGTTTTACTCCTTCAGTCTAAGGCAGGGGCATCTCAACTTTGTTCAGCAGAGGCGACTGACTAAAAGCCCTTGGGTAGGAGTTGATTTGCATTAAACGAAGAGGCTTGAAAGCTTCTTCTGTA